CCTACCAGCCGTGTGCATGCATCTCCATGCCAGTTCACTGGTGCTTTTCTGCCCGACTGGGACTGCGCCAGCCAATGCAAGCTCGATCATTCAAGGTTTGAACATTTTGAACTCTAACTGACAGTAAACCACTCCTAGAGTGGCTTTCCGCTCCGTCAGGATTATCGCCTTCGTCGAGAGAGGGAGAAGAAAAGAAAAAGAAAAAGAAAAAACAAATCCGTTGCTGAGGGGCGTTGAGTCGATCGACGGCGGACTGTCTCGCCGTCTAACTCTAGTGGTTTGGGAATTGGGACGAGGCAGGTACTGGGGCGATGCTTCGCAGGCCCGCCAGACCCGCCAGTGGCAACCCAAACTGGCCCGCCCCTGGGAGCGTGGCAGTGGCTCGATCGATCGCGCGTTGCAAAGCTGGAGGGAGGTCTGGACTCTGGAGCGTGTGCGCGGAGGTACCGTGTCAGGGCGTGTGGTCCCAGGCCCTGCTTCTGTCACGTTGCGCTGGGCCGTTACGGTTTGGCTGGTGCTGAGGTGGTACGGCCTCACTTTTTATTGATCGACTACTCCTACAAGTTCGTAGTAATGGTGAGTCGTCCCTTCCGTCCGTTCCATCTTTTGCTCAACCACAGCACCAGTAGCACAGTAACTCTTCTCATCGGCCGGAGTTTCGGAGCCGGCCGGGGCGACCAGCAGGACGTACGTGGTGATCGAGTATTTGAACGGCCATGGACAGTGAGCTAGCGATTCATATATACTATTATGTTATTAGAGAAGAAGACGGCACTTAGCGACGGAAACGGAGCCAGGCCACAAGAGAAGAGGACAGCAGTTGAGGGTAAAGGAGGGAGCAACTTGCGCTGCTGTCTCCCTCACACCTGCCTTGCACTCTGCAATAATTCAGAGAGAGAGAGAGAGACCCGATTGCCATGCATGGTAAAAGGCCTTGATGATCAGGCCCTGTGTGAAATCTTTTAACTTCACACCCCGACGACCCGGCCCGACCGACAGTTATAGCATGGCTCTTTTTTTTTTTACCTCTCTTGTGCTTTTGCTCCTTTGCCAATGCTGCTAGCTATGGCTCGCTCTTCTTGCCTTCGTACCTCTCGGTGGACTTCATGAATAGCAGATATTATATTAACTGTGATGATTTTTTATGAGTAGAGTAAAGGTACATGTTGTTAGTTGTTGAAATCACGATTCTGTTGTACAATTACAACTTCATGATCTTAGTTTATTTCTTGATTCAACAATTTTTATTAAGCTAAGTCTATTATAATAATTATGATACCATGATTTACGATCTTGCAATATGAGTATCGATCTAACAGAAATTGAGATATCCTTGCAGGCTAACCAAACAAACTATCTGTTTGTAAATCCTTGCTAGGCAAGGCTATATAGTACTGAGCAAAGGTACCAAGCAGCCTCTGAAGTGAACCTTATCACTTCTAGGAGGAGTATGTTGGTCGCCACAAAAAAAAAGAGAGAAGTGGTGGGAGGAAGATGAAATGCAAATGTTCGCTCCGAGGGAATCAATCACTAGATTGGAATCAGGCCTTCACTAAATCAGTGCCGGCCCCTACACTAGCTAGTATGCATATACAGAAGGGAAAAAAATAATGGAAGGATGGATCGATGCGCTTGGACATTCGCACGGCGCAAATTAACCTACTTTTCCGGCCGCTATTATTATCACTCACGCAAAAAGGCCTCCATAAAGGAAAAATCGTCATCATGCTGCATATGTAAACGAAGATTATTAACTAGCATTAGCGGCATGGGAATGGGAACAAGTACAAGTAATCTTTATTATTGGATCAACAGTCGGGCAGGCAGTAGTAATTAGCTAGCACAAAGTATACGGCGGCTAGGGGAGCAACGAGCACGGTTTGGGCAGACATTTTTGACCGGCCCAACCCACAAAAAGGCTGAGGTGCCGACAAGCGATCCGCGTGTTTTAGGCTGTGTTTAGTTCGCGAAATGAAAAGTTTTGATGTCACATCGGATGTTTCGGGGATGTTGAAAGAGGTTTTCGGATACTAATAAAAAAACTAATTACATAGCTCGCTGGAAACTGAGAGACGAATTTATTAAGCCTAATTAATCCAGCATTAGCTCATGTTAGTTACTGTAGCACTTATGGCTAATCATGGGCTAATTAGTCTTAAAACATTCGTCTCGCGATTTCCAACCAAACTGTATAATTAGTTTTTTTGTCTATATTTAATACTACATACATGTGCCGTAAGATTGATGTGATAGTTTTGGTTGAAAATTTATCCGATCCCTGGCAGTGGCAGGCGGATCGCGTGGAATCACTGGACTTCACTTGACTTGATGTCATTAGTTGACTCACTGTCACTACTGCCGTTAGTTAGCAACGACAGAAACGACAAAAATCTTCTTCAAGCTGCTGAGTGATGAGCTCTCTCGTACTGTAGAATAGGATAGGAACAGTGAAGATCTTTGCGGTAAGGGTAAGAGTAAGACACGGTAAAAGAAGCTAGATAAATAAGGTTAAGGCGATATTGTAACTTTTTCCATGTGTGTTAATGTTAAGTTAAAACTCTAGCCCTTATTATATCTTTTATTTATTTGGAATTTTTTCATTTTATTTTATTTAAAAATATTTTAGTTCCTAGACGACAATCTTAGTCAAGACAATAGCATAAACAGTCGTTTTAACCTGCACCACGGTACTCCACACGTTGAATTTGCTATATCAAAAATTATATGTGTAATGTTATGTTTTATAAAAATGTAGAGTCCTTCAAATTAAAGTACTAGCATTAATACGTCATGATGTTTTGAACGGAATGTATAAAGTAACAAGTTACAAATATTATAATAGATTATTAATATACTAAGGTGTGAATTGTTAGTGTCACTAATATGTGGTTTGTTAAAGGGACATTTGTTCACAATTGATAAACTATTAAATTAATATTTATCCTAATGGTGGCATATAGAATTTATGTTTTATTTTAATTTAACAGTGATAGAAGTGTGTAATGTAGAAATATATATAGTGTTCTTTATGGAGTAATTGATAAGTTTACCGCAACTAGTAAGGATTATGAAGTATATATATGGGTATTGCACTAAAAATGAGTAGAGATAGAACTGATAGATAATTGTGATTAGTTATAGATACTCAGCATGAACTAAATTTCATACTTATGTCTTCTATAAGATCCTAACCCGTGCAGGAGCACAGGTACGGTCGATGGACAAGTGTTGATCAATCGCATTGTAAATGTGCCATGCAAATTCCATAAACAACACAATTATTCTTCTATACTAGTCCACGTGTGTGTTTGTCTATCTTTGTTTTCCTTGGTAGTTATAATGCCCACTATTTTAGCTGCAAAGTTCTCTTCCTTCTCAACTTGTAAATTGTTTTAGTTTTTCTAAGTAAAAAGTCCCTAACTTTGACCGGGTTTTTAAAAATAAATAAATTAACATCTATAACACCAAACAAATGCAATGTCAACATATATTTTACGATAGTCTTAATGAAATTAATTTGATAATGTATATATGTGCATTAACTTGGTCAAAGTCAAAAGAACATTTTGTGACGGTGGGAGACGAGCTGTCGAGCTGCCTAGTTTGGCTGGCCAAGATGCACATATTTCACATTTCATTTCAGTATGTTACTAGAAGATCACCTGTTCCTCCTGTCTTTGGATAAGGAGGATTTTCCTAGTACATACTCTTGTTGACGGCCCTACTGCCTTGGATCCTACTCCATCCAAAAAAAATGATGGAACCGTATTCAGTCGTAATAAGGGAAAACAACTTGATGTTTTTTCACAAACAGAACTCACATCATCATTTGTCCTTGGATGCTATCAGTGTGATCATTTTGATGCCATGGTGCCAATTATGACAAGAGTCAGATGATCAATGTGGTTGGATGGTGGATAGAAACTGTGGGTGTGCTACTGGTACACTGTACTGTGCTGTGCTGTACTGCCGTGTGCGTAGCGAGAACGGGGTTTCTGGTAGTAGGTTTATCAATGTGAGGACAGTGAGTTCCATCCATCCCTGAGACCCTGACTGACCCCCGCTAGTGGTTGCCAGGTTGGAGTTGGAGACCCCAAACCCACACCCACCCACACGAGGTCACGAGTCAAAATGGCAACGGGTACCCGAAACCCGAGTACCCGATAAGAAGGCGGGTATGGAAAACATTTTGCACCCGATAAGGAGGCGGGTATGGAAGATATTTTGCACCCGCGGGTACGTTATTGGACGAATTCTTGTACCCATCGGGTATGCGGGTACGGGTGTGGGTGTATACTACCCATACCCGCATACCCGCGGATAAAAAAACCCGCATAAATAATATTCAACCTCTGCAATCTTAGCCCATATAAGCATATAGCTCATATTTGGCCCATATAAGCATATGAGTATATATATTCCAGAACTCCCTCAAACTCTAATCCCCATATAAGCATATTTGGAATGAACCAATGAGGCATCTGATCTATTTCAACTAGCTTGACCTGAATATATTTCTGTTTTGCTGCTCTATTGTTGATTTGTTTTGCTGGAAGCTATTATATTTTGGTGTGTGAATTCGGGTATATTGTTAGGTGCGAGTTACCCGTCGGGTAAGAATTACCCGTCGGGTACGGGTATGGAATGAATTTTCTACTCGCCTGTGGGTACGGGTAACCCGACGGGTAAGATTTTGATCTGGCGGGTGCGGGTACGGGTGGCCAGTACCCATCGGATACGTACCCGTTGCCATTTTGAGTCACGAGCGGCAGGTTTCTCTATACTATCTGAACCTGGAGCCATTTTGAGTCACGAGCGGCAGGTTTCTCTATACTATCTGAACCTGGACCCAAGAAACACAAATCATAAACATCCTCCTGCTTTGTGACCTAAGCAGGCATTTTGTTGGAGTGTTGGAGCCAGAGCAAGGCTGCTAGAGCCGCCTTCTAAACTTGGTAGCACTCGCCTACTCGCCGTTTGCAACTGCAGCTTGGACCCAAATGGCTCAGGAGATGGCTTGTTTCTTCGGCCCTGCTCCACCGGTAGCTGCTGCTCTGTCTCCGTTCCATGAGGGACAAGCAGGGAGCCATGGCCATAGCAGCAGCCGCACTGCTGGGCACACGAGAGGCCACTGGCGGCCAGCCGAGGATGCCAAGCTCAAGGACCTCGTGGCGCAGTACGGCCCCCAGAACTGGAACCTCATCGCCAACAAACTCCACGGCAGATCAGGTAAGGCTCCTTGGCTCCTTCGATCTTCATCGCAACTTTTGACTCCTCCCACTCGTATGTGTCCACGCACTGACGGAATGGATCGGAGCAGGTAAGAGCTGCCGGCTGCGGTGGTTCAACCAGCTGGACCCGCGGCTCAACCGCAGGCCGTTCTCGGAGGTGGAGGAGGAGCGGCTCCTGGCGGCGCACCGCGCTTACGGCAACAAGTGGGCGCTCATCGCGCGCCTCTTCCCCGGCCGCACCGACAACGCCGTCAAGAACCATTGGCACGTCCTCATGGCGCGCAAGCAGCGGGAGCGGTCCGGCTCCGGCGCGCCCCGACGACGCAAGCCCTCGTCGTCGTCGTCAGCCGTCGCCACCCGCCACCATGTGTCCTCTCCCATGCCGTTCCGCGCCGGCATCCACCCGGAGGCGGCCACCCGTGCCCGTGCGTACAGCGACGGCGAGTCCGAGGAGTCCGTGTCCACCTCCAGCACCGACCTCTCCCTCGGCTCCGTTTGCGGCGCCGTCCCCTGCTTCCACCACCAGAGCTCGTACGACGCCGGCACGACGTGCCTCCTCGGCTCCTCGCCACTGCTGCACTGCATGCTTTGCTCCGTTCCCTCGCCGGCGCGCCACAGGGCAACGGCCTCCGACGATGGATGCGGAAAGCTTGCCCTGCCCTTCTTCGACTTCCTGGGCGTTGGCGCGACATGATCCGAGTTCCCGGCAGACGGCAGTGGTGTACAGGTGGAGGGATCCCCAGTGGCCAGGCCAGTGATCACTGATCAGGATGAGCTATGGAAGCCAAGCTCACGTTCTCGAAAAAAAAAAGAGTCTTTTACCGCCGAAAGACCAGAGTACTACTAGTTACCTTTGTTTATTTTTATTTGATTTGAATTTTGGCATAGGATGCTGTAGCAGAGTCCTGAACTCCGCGCTGCTGCGCTAGGTCCCTGAGGTGGACAAAGGAATCATCCATCAAGTAACTGAAATTTCACTGCAACTTGCTGGACAGTGCACAAATATCTGCTCTCTCCGTTTGAAACTACAAGTTGTTTCAACTTTGTACAGAGTCAAACTTTTTTTTACTTCAAATCAATCTTATAGAAAATGCACAAATATATAAAGCATCAAATAAGATTCGTTAGATACACTATGAAATGTAGTATTTGATAGTGTATTTTTTTTATTTAGATAATATATTGTCCTACAAGTTTGATCGAAGTTAGAAAAATTTAACTTAGAATAAAGTTGAAACAACTTACAGTTTTGATAGTGGCATGACTAACATGGGACGTGACAGTGTAGGGCTAACAAATAAAGCGTAAAATACATTTTCCAACCTTTAGTTTGCATGTAAGTCTAGTCTTCAAGCCTCAACTACAAAACTGGATAATAGGCACCCTCCAACCGTTGAAACTGGATAATTTTAATTCATGACTCGTTTCAAAGGTAGGTTCCTATTTTAAAATTTTATCATTAAATTATTTCATTAAATAAAAAAATGAATCTATTTCTGATTTTCTTCTAAAAATGTTATCTATCTAGAATTATTCGAATATTATTTGTTTTAAATAAATAATGAGCTCAACCACAAGCTATAAAGCAACAGAAATAGAAATAAATCAGTTTCAAATAACTATATGTAGATCATAAACATGTAGACAACATTTTAAAAAGAACAAAAATTTCAACCTCCAAGTTGCATATCAGTCTAATCTTTAACCCTAAACTATAAAGGTTGGTACCGAGCATCCTCAAAGTGTTGAACTCTAAAATATTTGGTCATGGCTCATGTGGCTTGTTTCAAAGGTGTTTTTATATTTTTCTAAAAATAATAACATTATGGTTTCATCTCTAGTAATAATTCACAATTAATTAATTTAAATCAAAAAATATATGAAATTGGTAGTTTTCTTCTAAAAATGTTATCTATGTGCTGGGACTATTTTTCTTTTGAAAATGTTATCTATGTGTTAGTGCTCTATTTAGAGTTATTTAGATATTATTTGTATTCAATAAATAATGTGCACGAATACGAGCAATAAAGCAATAGTAACAAAAATAAATCACCTCCAAATAACTATATATATACATCATAAGAATGTAGACAACATTTTTAGAAGAAAATTGATACTAGTTTCTATCTTCAAAATAAATTATTTATGAATTTCTAGATAGTAAACCAGATTTATCATTTTATAAAATAGAAAATCACGTTTCAAACCAGCAAGAGAACTAAATTTGTCCGGTTTTTGATAGTTGGATGACTTCTATTACCCAGCTTCATAGTTCAAGGTCGATAATAGGATTGTCTTGAAAATTTGAGGTTGAAAATGTACTTTACACCTAAAAATGATACAAGGTGCTTCTTGATTTTGTGACTGGACTGAACTCATATTTGATCGATTCAGATGGTCCCGCATATGTTACTGACTGAAATGGTTCTTATTATTATAGCAGGAAATCGGCAAATCCATCCCCGCTCAACGGGGCTTTCGTCTGCATGGGAGCGAGATGTCCTTGTGGTGATTCAGCCGAGACTCTGCTCGAGCTGAGCTGAGCCTGCGCCTGCCACATTGACTGAAGCCCATGAGATGCGAGCAGCGAGCACCACCATGCAACGCCTATTGGCACTCCTCCTGAAGCACGTAGGAGTACGCGGTACGGTTTGAATGAAACTCAATCTCCAATTCTTGATGGCGCCGTCCTAGAAACCACGATCGAGAACATGTATATATATACATCCTTTTTTTGGGGGGAATATGTATATATACATCCTCGTGCCCCTCGTCATCAGCTACCCGGGAATTCCCAAACTCAAAGACCGTGCCTGCAGTGCAGGCTGCAGCTAGCAACTGAAGCCGGCCAGTACACCACCATCATGTGAAAACGCAACTCGGGGTCGGGGGACGGTGGTGCTCGCTCGCTGGCTGTCTCCTTGTCGTTGGGTCACACTCACACCGACACCGCACGCCCGAGCTGTCTCATGATTCGTGCCGCTCCGTTGTGCTCCTCGTCTCAGGTCGAGCCGTCGAGGTCTCGTGAGCGCCGGTGCATATGGATGGCCGCGTCGGCATTTGGAACGAGGACCAAGCTAGCCGGCCGGCAACTGCGTGCAGGGGTACATATAGTAGGAGTAGCACCCAAAATTGACCACCCTCATGCATCAGTGCATCACCCTACTCTACCAGCCTCTGTCAGACTGACAGACAGAGTATTGGTTGCACTAAACAAAGATGGTGAGTCGTGGAAGTCTGAGTGACCTCGGAAATGCAATTGTTGGTGCTTAGTGCGGGCGCCGGTAGCCAAAGATCCACAACCGTATTAATCAAATGGCTTGGGTCGAGGTTCAGAGTAGGCGCCGGCCAACTGTGTACTGCTAGTACTATGATCAGCAAACTAAACAAAGCAACTACTCCTATACCAGTGTACGTGGGAGTTGTATCCTATACCAGTGTTTTTTAAAATGGTGATCAGAAGACTTTCGTTGTTATTTGATAATTAGTGTCCAATCATAGTAATTAGTTTTATTTTTTATTTATATTTAATCTTCACGATAAAGAATGTGATTTTAATCTTCTAAAATTTTGTGACTAAACAGGGAGGGCTTAAGACCAGGGAGGGCTCTAGTTTCAGTGCTCCAGGACCACACCGTTGCAGATGCAGATAGATTCTTTGTCTCATCTCTCTGCCCACTCTACTCGTAGTTAGGTTTCAGCGTCTCACGCATGCATACAAAATGTGGTGTCCAGTGTCCACCTTCAACCTTCTTCCGTTAGGCTTAATTGACATGGACGGCTAGTTTACTCTAGTATGATCTCCGTCGTGGTGCTTCGACTGTTGGAGTCTTCCTCTGGCTTTGGCTCTGTTTGCTTGTGTTTGTTGTTTGGCACCACCGCGAGCCCTGTCCGTCTCTGTCTCTGGTCCGCCGTGCATGTTCGGCCACGGCCACAGCCACAGGGCACCCCAGCGGCCCAGCCTTTGGTTGTGGCGATGGGTCTATGCACTGTGCCTTGTTCACTGCACTGGTATATATTGTTAACAAACCGGTCCATCGTACATAGTGCTCTTGAGGCAAATATATGCCGAAAAGCCAAGATAACACGGGGGTGTTTGGCAGGTCTCTACTTGAGAGGATTCTTTGGAGGAGTCAGAGCCGTTTCGAAAGAGCCTCCAAAAACGGCTTCGGCTTCTCTGTATTTCAGAGAAAAACGGCTCCCCCTGCAAAATGTTTGGTAGACTTTCTTCGAAAAAGCCAAAGCTAGAGCTACAGAAAAGCCCTATCAAATAAGCCCTAATAAAATAATAACCGGTGTGGCACACGTATATAAACCCCAGATCTTGGGACCTAGCGCTGGGCTGGGCTACCACCAAAAAAGCAGCAAAAGGCACGGCCTTAGGTGTCACATTATTATTATCCCTACGTTAGAAGCGGTAAATATATGGCCATTTCTGCACTGCATCGTCGTCCTCTGCTTGCCACCAGTACCATAATGCATGTGCACCCGCCGCCCGCCCGGGGACGTGTACTGATTATTTAGTGCTACGTGGCAGTACTATATAGGAGTATAGCAGTACTAGACTTTTAACGAACTTTTTATAAGTTTTATGCACATATGCATCGACTACTAGCTAGCTGCAACTTTTTTGACTGGATCTGACTTCACGCGACCACACGGAAAATATAAAGTATTTTTCTCTCACAACAAAACAGCTTCAGCCGACTTATCAGTCGACTTTAATACCAGCCAAATTACACATATAAAGTAATACTTCTATCTATATGGGCCCGTTTGTTAGGGTTCCTGCTCCTAAAAAGAGCTCTGGTTCTTAACTCTTCTGAAGGAGCAGATTCTCTTAGAGAGCTGAAGCTGTTTTTAAGACCGTTTAGCGTAACAGCCTCCCAAGTAGAAAAAAGAGTAAAAAGTCTATAATACCTTTTTTTTTCTTTCTTTTCTTTCTTTCTTTTCTTTTCTTACATTATCTGTTCCTCGTGCCTATTTTTCTCCTCCGTACCCTTCCCTTCATTCTTTCTCTCTCCTCATCTTCCCCAACCGCTCGCCTCCCGTCGCGCAAACACGAAGTCGCAACCGCTTCGCCCTCTCACCCGGCCATCCTCGGAGATCCGGTGGTCCAGCAACCCCGCGCCCAGCAGCCCTGTGCGTGGCGCTCGGCTGCCCGGCGGCCTTGTGCTCGGGCACCCAATGGCCCCGCGCGACCCCGCACCCGGCGGCCACGCGTTCATGTGTCTCCCTGAGGTTGGGGGCAGACTCAACCTCCACGCGCTGGGGTCCGTTGGTGTCAGATGGGAGCCGGGAGATGCTCCATTTTTTAGCTCCGCCTAACACACTGCGTCTGTGAGAGCGTGTTTTGCGAAGCTCCATGGGTGAATCAGTTGAGGAAAGTGGCGTTTGTCAACAGGAGCTGAAAAATGGCTCCGGGAACCGCCTGTGAATCCATACCAAACGGCCCTGTATGTTGCCTAACTCGATCCTCTGTCTGTGAATAAGTACAGCCATATCCATCCAAGCAACCCGACGCAAAGTTTCCAAAACGCAAGAGCTTTCGGCACCCTGCCTGATGATCAAGCTTACTATAGCATTAAGCTTTCAAGAGAAGCAAGCAGGTGCCTGCAGTTTCTGTGTTGGAAAGCTAAGCTAGTGCTTTACGTCCTTGCTCTTGTTGAAATTAGATTGACCTCGTTGCTTTAT